ACACAGGGGCTCCATGATCCCCTATTGCCCAGGGGCCCCATGAGTTGTCAGTCCGCCCCTGGTCCCACCACATGACAAGGCAAACGACTTTGTCTCTGGTATGTCCAGTTCACACCAATGTGGGCAATTGAACTTAATGAAATGTTCGTGTGACATTTCAAAAGAGTTTGTTAAAAAAAAAGCAAAGCATGTTGTAATGCAGCAGCTGAGGTGCATAAATCCTGAGGCCTGGTTTACACCTATGCATGTTGCAATCTGCTGTGGAAAAAAATGTCCGTGACCCTTTCCAAAAATGCAGTGGCTGAAAACACATACTGTAGATGTGAACATGTCTCATTGGAAACCATGTTAAATGGATTGTAGTGAGTATCTGCAAAAAGCACAAAAAAATGCATAGGTGTGAACCAGGCTTTGGCTGTCAAGGCGGTATACACATTCTGCACCCACAGTGCTTTGCTGTGTGACTGCAGTAAGACTTATATCCCCAGTTGCATTTGGCAGGCACTACCGCTCACCATACACAACCCATTCAAGTAAAAGGATCCATGCTGCACTTGCCACCTGTCAAATACCTCTGAAAAGCAATTTATGTGTGGATTGCTTCTCAGTGGAGTGGAAAACTTTTGCAATCAGAGACTCAGAGCAGCAGAGGCTAGGGAGGGACATTTGCAATTGTCAAGATGTTAGGGCGTGGACAGTGGACTCATTCACCAATTTTGTAGCCACTAGTGTGTGTGTGTCCTCCAATTTGTTGCCTGCTGAACTAAACACACCAGGGACAGCAAGGATTGGCTACATCACAAGGAGGTGGGGCAAAAAATGATGGGCCTCTTTAGCATCCTGTAACGTTCACTCTCTATATCCTGTCTCTCAAAATCTCACTCATAAGATTTGTATGAATGAGATATTGAGGGCACCCGCTCCCATCCACGGTCCAGCGACACCTCCTGCCTGCCATCTCCAGTCTCCAAGCTGTCTCCTGAGACTCTCTGGTCATTGCTGAATGTCGGCGGCTGTCTCATTTCACTGGAACACTTTATATTGATGGAAAGGGAAAGCACAGCCTTTTTTTTTTTTTTTTTTTTTTACAAATACCCTCTCAGTATTAATGTTGATGTCCTTTCTTGCGAAACCTCCCGCCAGACCCTCACTTTCTAAAACCATAAAACCAAATACTTTACACCTTGGTATAGTGAAATATCTTAATGTTTATATGAGATGAAATAAATAAAACATTGTCATTTAAATTAAGTTTGATCAGAAACCTGCCCGCTTGTGTAATAACCAGCGGTGTATTTAGGCTTTGTGCTGCCCTGGGCAACACAAAGATTGTCTGCCTCCATGGACACAAACCAACACCACCCCCCCTTCCCCCTTGCGGAAAGAGCCTGACATTGACCAACAACACCCCTGCTCCCCACCTGGGAGATCCTTCCACTACCCCCCCCCCCAGCAATAGAGAGAAGGACACTCATCTTCACATCTCCGGACATCCCCAGGAATGAGAGTCGGGTTCTACATACACCATAAAGCAGCTCGCAGCCTTGGATCCTACCTGGTTCCCATGGCGTGCGCGTCCCTTCTTCCATCCATTCTTCTGCGGGGAGGTGCTGCTGCCCTGAAAAATGCCGCCCTAAGCAAGTGCCTTGTTTGCCTTGTGGTAAATACACCCCTGATCGGAGCGATGGAGATGGCCCTGATGGACCCTATGTGCACCTGGGGCCAGAGCGGTGCCCACCTGATAAGACGATCCTGATGGAGGAAGACCAATGGTGCTCCAGAGCTCACAGTGTCTTCCTGGCACTTTAACCTCCTTAGCTGTCTGATTATGTCAGTATTTCTGTGCTCAAAGCGGTACTTTTTTTGCATGGAAATATGTCGTTTTTTTTATTGTAGGCCTGTAATTTTTAGGAATAACTCACTGAAATCTGTCCGAACGAGAGTCTAGTAAACATCCCGGATATGATAAAATTTGAAACACGAAATCATAATTTAATAAATAATCATAAAAATAATAATATAATAATAAATTTAATTCAATAATATAATCAAACCAAAAACACTGAAATTTGAAATATAGCGCCAAGTTCGCACATCACTGAGCAAAGTTGCAAAATCATTTTCAGTGTCTGATGACGAATTTCCCCCACGAATCATTATCACTAAATTCTGCAAGTGATACTAATTTACTATCGCTGTTCTCTAGCTGGTCTAAAACCACTTTTGACCTAAAGGGACGCTTTTTGGACGCCATGGACGTTTCTCAGTTTCCAGGCAGAAAGAACAGTAAAAATGCAGGCAGGACACAGGACAAAGCACTCGGGACAAAATGTATGTGAAATGGTTTGATACAGTAATATTTTACTGTGTGATTTTAGTGTATTTAGTGAATGTCACTTTTTGACATTTTTAAATTTCCTGCCGGTTACGTCCCCCGTACGTCCCGACGTCGCAGGGAACAGAACCCGGAAGACAGATGCTGGCATCGGATGGCTGGGGACACTGCAGGGGACACATCATGGGAGCGAAGGACAAGGTAAGTGCAGAAGGGATCCCGGAGCAGCGCTGTAAGGTATTCCCGAGTGTAGGTCGGGGTTACCGCTTGTGGTGCTGAAACTTTACCCCGAGCTACACTCGGGAATACCTCCAGAGTAAGTTATTAATAAAGGGTACAGTATGCACATTACAGCAGCTTACGCGTTTTGAGATAAAACCTTATTCATTGTCATAAAACAACTCAGAACAAACATATTTAAATACTAGACATAAAGTCAATCTCTAAATATCCTCCCACTGCGCATGGCTCCATCAATTAGATTAATTAGTTCATTATCTATCAGGTTTTTCGGATGTTACTTGCATATGGGAGAAAAACAGCAAAAAACATCTATAAGATAGCACAAATGACAATATATGGAAAAAGTAAAAAGAAAAAAATATACAAAAATATAGCTATACATTCCGTGTAGAAAGCAGGGTACTTTTGTATGATGTATAGTAAAGATATTAGTTACCATGCACCATAAATTTGTGTACAAAAAAAAATATTTGACAGATTAATGTATAAAAACTGTGATGTAATGATGTATTATTATAGAAAGGCATTCACATACTGCAGAACACAGTTCACCAAAACAACCTGTTGCATATAGAGAGAATAATAACAAGAAATAATTATAAAAGGATAACCAAATTACTATTTAAGGAAAAGATCGATATCCCATCTATGATTTAGTTCTAGGGAATTCTAGTCTAGTGAAAACCCATCTAGCTTCTTTCTCTAATAGATCTGATGTACATCTCCTCCACGTGCTGCTCTTTTAACCCTCTCTATAAAATGGTTCACAATGTTTAACCTAGCGCAAATAAATGGACTTTATCAAGAAGAATATCTATGAAAGCCACTTTGATATTTCGTGACACATATTTTGTTGCTGCAATACTACTTACATTTCATATAAGCAGAAAATCAAATCTTCATTCATGGAATACGACTGCCTCTAGTGGACAGGTAAAGAACATCTAAAAATAACGGCGTATTCTGACCTTTTACTATGGGTGGACCCAACAGACAATGGATCCCCACAGTATTTTATATGGAAGAAAACCCCTTTTAGGGGGGAATCCTTTTGCTTTGAACAAAAAGATAACAAATCTTTTGCTTTTAAAAGAGAAACACTTTTTGCTGACTAAAAAGGAGATCCTTTTGCTTAATAAAGAAAAGACATTTTTCTTGGCTTACTATTATTATTATAGAGTATTTATATAGCGCCAAAGGGTTTGCTCAGCGCTGTACATTAGAATGGGGGACAAGACATGAGACAATACAGTAGCAAAACAATACACAATACACGAGGGTTAGAGGGCCCTGCCCTTTCGAGCTTACAGTCTAGGAGGGAGGGGATGGTGATAGAGGAGGAGATGGCTGTGGGGGATGGAATGGAGAGTGAGGACTGGAGGGGATCGACTGTTAGGTGAGGGTGGGGTAGGCTTCCCTGAAGAGATGGGTTTTCAGGGTGCGTCTAAAGGTGAGGAGGGTAGGGGACAATCTGATGGATTGGGGAAGTGAGTTCCAGAGGATGGGGGAAGCTCTGGAGAAGTCCTGCAGTCGGGCGTGGGAGGTGGAGACCGCCCACTAAAAAGAGAGCTTTTTCTGGTTGGAGAGACTCCTGCTTGCTAACACTTTTTACCTGCCTTGTGCTCCATCCAAAAATCTCAAAGAATGCTATCCCTGGGAGTGGTGAGATATTGTGGCCGAAGTAGCAGAACTTTTATTCATACCAAAGTTATTACAAGAACTTAATAACTATTTTATTGAGCTGTAGTGCTGGTACTGTGCAAGGTGATATAAACTGCTAATTATTTCATAATTGTATAGATTTTGTTGAACCATCGAGATTGGATGATGTATAGGAAGATTGGGTGCTAATTTATCATATCAGGTGGATTGGTTGTAGAATAGAGGGTTTTTTTCCCCTCTATATGGGTATGCTGTAAGCGCATTGTTCTTAGGACGCATTTGAAGTGTGTTTCAGTTTGTATATCAAACTTATTTTTCCTAACTCTTTGTCCATGAGAGTTGTGGAAAAATACACTGAATAATGAAATATAATATTTTTCAAATCGCTGACAAATAAAGAGTTTTGTTATTTTACTTTGCTATTGTATACATTTTGAGACTAACCTGATTGCAATTTATCGTAGGTTATCCCTTTGATCGTGTGTAGGAAATACTAATCACCAGTAAATTAGTTTGTATTAAAATATATATAATTATTTTTTTGTATATAAATAAATTATTTATTTATTAATCAAATTGGCGATATTTGTATATTTGGTAAGAATTCACATTGGTAAAAGAATTCAGGAAAATGACATTGTGGTGGTATATTATATCTAGGTGTTTGTATTATTTAATATTATTGATTAAGTTATTTTACCATAACGACTGGAGGCTCTGTGTCATTAATATATATGGGAGTCAGACATCGCCCAATTCATTAATAATTCCTTATTCATAAAGCACCACCTTATCCCAAAAGCACTACAATACTCACTGTGGAACCTAAGGGGTTAATCCTCTTCATTATATAAAAATGCTGTTTGATTCTGACTTCTCTGATCCTCCCCTTCTTCCAGCGTCCCCTCTTACCTCCTGATAAGACATATCGTGTTGAGTCGCTCTGCACATGCTCAGTTTGGTGTGTATTGCGAGAGAGGTTTTTTTTTTTTTTTTTTTGGGAGAGTGCATGTGATCAGCACAGGGCCAATCAGCACTGTGCAGATAGAGGGCAGGTGTTCTGCATCCTTCTACAGCAAAATGAAAACTCCTCCTGCAAGCTTTAACATGTGCTCAGCTGGACAGTGATAGAAGTCACAAGACTGCTCTAACTGCTGATGAGAAAAGGTATTTAGCCGTTTATATTCCATGCTGTGTGTACTGTGGGAGACCAGATATAGTGAATGCAGGGTCCTGGGATAAGTAACACTAACAAACACGCTAAATTGGTAAACGCCAGCAAATTGCAAGCACACAAAAGGGAAATCCCAAATTTTGACTTTAGCTGAGCTTGGACAACTTTTACTAACAGGAATAATAGCAATCCCCAATTCAACAGTGAGTTGATCTTCTCTTTTATCAGATTAAAGATACATTTCAAGCAGAAGCTTGAAATAGTGATGGGCCGAACCCCCGTTTGGTTCTCGGTCGAACATCCACACCCTACAGAATGTTCGACTTTCGAACACAAACAATTTACTGAGCGGTATCTTACCGCATCTGAGTATGTAAGTAAGTTACTAAAAAAACGCATTAGTTATATTATTAAGTCTTGTGGTATTTTAGTAGTGATACATTCATTAATGTTTCAGCTGTCAGTAGGATTTCCTGCTGACAGCTGAATGTAAAAAGAATTGCCGGCATTGCCCGACAATTTAAAAACATTTTTTTTAAAAACATAATGGGGTTTCCCCTCCCATCCATACCAAGCCCCTTGGGTCTGGTGTGGATTTTGAGGGGAACCCCCATGCCAATTTGTTTTTTAAATGGCGTGGGGGTCCCCCCCAAAATCCATACCAGACACTTATCCAAGCATGCAGCCTGGCAGGCTCCCTGTTTGATTTTAGACACATATAATACTTCTTCTAGTGTCTTGAGGCAATTATGAATGAAAGAGCCATTGAAATAAAAAAATGAAGTGTGATTTTATTCTATCACACAATGGTGTAAAATAACAATGTAAAGCGTATTATGAACAGTTCCATGTAGATAAAACTACTGTAGAAACAACAAGCAAAAGTTCAAAGAAAGAGTCACCATTATTTGTCATGTCTGTTCTGTCCTTCATGCTCTACTTGTCCTTCTCATGTCTCCTTGGGAAGAAGCAGCAAGTAGACGGAAGTGACGTTAATGATGATCTCTTGTCTTGCAGCACCTGTTCCAGCATCTCAGAAAGTTCTTATGAACAGCCATGTGTGTGTGTGTTAGAATGTCAGTATTAGCGTGTGAGTGCGAGTGAGTTCCCCTTTGTCCGTTGTCTCATGGTCTTTTATGAGGCAAATGTACGTCATAGTTAGTGATCTTAATACCTTCTATGGAAATTATTACTGCTTAGCAAAGCCATTTCACTTTTTGCTGTAGGAATACTTTTTTCATTTTCTTTTTATTCTTCCATTCTTCTTTTCTTCTTTTTTTTCATTCTTTTTCTCATTTTTTTTTTCAATTTTTTTTTCTTTTCTTTTTCTTTTCATTCTTTTCATTCTTTTTTTTCTCTTTATGAAAAAAGAATGAGAAGAAGAATGAAAAAAAAGAATGAAAAGAAAAATGAAAAAGAAGAAGAAGAAGAATGAAAAGAAGAAAAAATGAAAAAAAGAATAAAAGAAAAAATCTTTTCATTTTTCTCATTTTTCTTTTCATTCTTTTTTTCATTCTTCTTTTTCTTCTTTTCATTCTTCTTTTTCTTTTCATTTTTCTTTTCATTTTTCTTCTTCTTTTTATTCTTCTCATTCTTCTTTTAATTCTTCTTCTTCTTCTTTTCTTCTTCTTTTTCCATTTTTCTTTCATTCTTTTTCTTCTTCTTTTCAAATTTTTTTCCCTTTTTTATTTTTTTTCATTCTTCTTTTCTT